CGGGTGGGTGTGGCACGGGTGGGTGTGGCACGGGTGGGTGTGGCGCGGGTGGCCATGACTGCTGTGGCCCTGTGGCAGGCGGCGTGGTGTGTGCACAGGTGCTGTGGATGTGTTCCCGTGGCGGCATGTGTAAGCGCCGTGGCTTCAGGAGTCTCAGGAAAGCCAGAGCTGCCCTGTGGTGCTGAGCATATTCATCAGGCTCTCCAGCCAGACAGGATGTGTGTGCGCGTGCGTGGGCGCGTGTGCATGTGTGTGCACGCCTACACACCTGAGTGCGCGTAGGCGATTTCACGTGTGCATTAGGGTCAACCTGAGACAAGAGACTGGAGACTGATGTCTTCTACGCCCTCTAGTATGTTTTAGTAGCCACACCTGTGCAGAAGTGGATGATTCCTGTTGAAAATTGGCCATAGTTCAGATAGATTTGGGGTCAGTGGCCACTCCACAGACCATTCTGCGGTCCTGGGTTCCTGGGCGCCTTCTGTCTGTCTGTGCCGTAGGATGGGCAGGTGCAGGCCCAGACCCTCCCCCCACCCCCCAGCGTCCTGGGCTTCCAGCGGCATGCACAGGGCTGCTGGGCCCAGGAAACGCAGACATGTTTCCAGGGCCCACACTCCCCCTGCTGCCTGCCTGCCCTCTGCCACCCCACGTCACCCCGGGTCACCAGCGAGAGACCACATGGGTCCCACAGGGGAGCTCACACCACAGTGTAAATAAACACAAGCAAATGAGAAAGCCATGATTCACACTCACGACCCACCGTGCGTCCTGAGACAGCACGCACCTGTGCCAGGGCCACCTGGACCAGAGGACTACTGAGGGAAGGAGGGCATCGGTGGGCCTTGCCCCCCAGCACTTCCCAGACCAGCCTCTGCTCATCCTCTGCACGCGCCGTCACCGAGGACGGCTGTGCACAGCTCCTGTCCTGCCTTCACGGTGCAGCGACGCCGGCCCTCCCGTGTGAGCCACAGGGCCCTTGCGCTGCCGAGCCAGCGCCACACTGCAGCGGCTTCCTGGCCACGGGTCCCAGGCTGTCACTGATAACCAGTTCACACCTGTCCTGACTCAAAAATACACCTGGCTCACACCTGTCAACCTCCTCAGGAGGCTGAGCTCTGAGGATCACGGTTCAAAGCCAGCCCGGGCAGGAAAGTCCATGAGACCCTTTTTTTTTTTTTATTGTGAAAATGACATATGGAGGAGCTACAATTACATGAGCAACATAATAAGTACGTTTCTTATCAAGCATTGTGGCCTCCTCTGTTTCCCCTTCCCATCCCTTCCCATCACCCCCAGTCCCCCATGAGACTCTTACCTAGAATTAACCACCAGAAAACCGGAAGTGGTGCTATGGCTCAAGTGATAGAGCGCTCACCTTGAGCTGAAGAGCGGAGGGACAGCGCCCAGGCCCAGAGTTCAAGCCCTACAACCCAAAGAAAAAGAAATGCACCTAGCTGTGCTACTCCTGCTGCTTGAAAGTCAACTGTCTGGACACTTAACTTTAATTATGAAAGCTCAAAAAAGGCCTTCACTCACTGCTTTTCCACCTCCTCAAACCAGTCTGTGAGTGATCCACGCAAAGTACACGCTCCTTCCTCTGCAAACACACCTCCTTCCTCTGCAAACGCACCTCCTTCCTCTGGAGACGCACCTCCTTCCTCTGCAAACGCACCTCCTTCCTCTGGAGACGCACCTCCTTCCTCTCTGCCTCCTTCACACCACCCCCACTGCCCCTCCCAGGAAAGCTGCTCACCCTCCCTGCTGCTCTTCTCCATTCATGGTCTCCTGAAGCAACAGCGTCCGTGTCAGAATCCAGTGAGATGGTCAGAGGGACGCTTGGCAGCTCTGCCTAACAGTGGAGCTCGTCAGCCCTCTCTCCCCATTTCATCCCCTATCAGGCATTTCTCAGTGCTGGCGTTCTCCTGTGTCTCCGTGCAGCAGTTATAACTTTGAGTTATGACTCAAAGCTGCTTTTTGTTTGGGGTCTTGTGATGTTCTTTGAGACAGTGCCTCACTCAATAGCCCAGTGGTTCCTGGAATCTCTCTTTCCTTCTGCTTCCCAAGTGCTGGGCAGGGAGTTAGCACCGTGGGGCCTGGTAGTTACTCTTTATCTCCTGTGGCTTTCTTTCCTCCCTGATGGGTCGGCTGGAAGGACAGCCTACACCCATGTCTTTTTATTAACCACAGTAATCATTGTGCTGTGACATTTGGTGGACATCGCTATCTGACTAGAGTATCTTTCTTGTTCTGTATAAAACACTGTTATTTTAGCTTCACATGCACGCAGGGCTAGCGAATACTTGATTAGCTGCAGTCAAGAGCAGATGATAGATCTGCCTTTCTATTGATCCTTACATTTCTATTATAGACTGCTCAAATTCCTTATTAAACTCAGCGTTTATCATTAGTGTCGCAGTTGTACATAGAACCTTTCTGCGAGTCTCAGCAGCAAATGACTGCCTTCCACAGCGAGCCAATCTGGCAGTGAGCTGTGGGAACTTATTTGTGAGACACCCAGAAAGTGGGTGACAGTTCCCTGAGCCCCTGGCAAGCCTACCACCAGACTTGGGAGACGGCGGGAGAGGGTCGCGATGTCCCTAGGCCTCATAGAGCCGCCTGACTCAGGGAAGAGGGTGGGGGAGAGAAGCGTGTGTACCACCTGACTCCCTCACAGGGCCACAGAAGGCCGGTCTCCCTGGACTAGAATGGCCCGCGCAGCACACTGCCCCCTGCTCACATTCCTACAGAGGGTGTGAGCACCTTCTGTCTGTATCTAATGGCATTTGTTGATAGTTCTCTTCTCTGCAACAGTCCGTGTGATTTGGAGTTGCATTGTCCAGATGGCGAATGCTAGATGTAGTTGTTGGCCATCTGTACAAACCCTTCGCCTGCTTTCCCCTGGACTGGTGTTGAGTTCCCTCCATGTCCATACTTTAATCCATCATCAGAGGGATGCTTGGACAATGTGCGCTCCATTCTGCAGGCCACGGCTTGCCCTGTAGGCTGAGTTCCTGCTGAGTGGCATTTTAGTTTAATACAATCTCATTTGTCTCTCGTTTGCTTCTCATTTACAGTCATAACAGAAAAATAGCCTGCCACAAATGTCTTGAAGAGTTTTCTACATTTTTCCTTCTGGTTGTTTCAGCGTTCTAGGTCTCGTGTATGACTCTCTCACTCATTCTGGGTTGATTCTTCTGCAGGGTAAGAGAGTGGTACCCAGATTCCATCTTCTACATAGAAACTCAACAGAGAAATTATCACTATAGGAAAAAGCCAACTGAAATTTCAAGAACAGAGAATATAGTATCTGAAAATTTACTACATGTGTTTAAGAGCAGATGGAGATAATAGGAAAAGGCTAGTAATTTGCAAACAAGTTAATAGACATGATCAAATCTGAAAAAAACACTGTAGCTAAATATTGAAGGAGACACATGCCAAGCCAGCACAGTGTCCTGAGTTCAATGGCTGTAACGGATGGAGTGAAGACTGGAAGAAGAGAAGAGTTGACAGGCACAGGTCAGAACAACAGGGCAAAGACATTTTTAATTAAACAAGTTTTCATAAATTCAGTTTTAAAAAATCAGGCCAAAAATGCTCAAGGAAGGCTAAGCAGATAAGTTGGAAGAGTTGCCTGCCAAACTGCAGAGAGCCAGCAAGGAAGCCCCAACACAGAGTCTGTGCATACAGGGACGAGTGTGATACGGCTGGGTCTCAGAAGAAATGAGACCCAGAAGACAATGATCCCCTAAAATGATCCCCCAACTCACCTATTGATCTAGAATTAGATCATCAACAGAAACTTACTGCAAATAAGAACTGGCGATCACACGCACTGAAAGCAAGAGCATGCTGGCAGAGCTGCCTCGCTCCCAGCCCCGCCAAGCTCATCAGAACACCCAATGGTGATAAATCTTTGCACACCTAATTCGCGGCACTACATTAAACTGGAGTTGATGTCGACATTGGGAGGAAAAGCTCCCTCGGACCTGGGCAGCTCTCCACTGGAGCTGAGTTTGCATTGTGCGGTCCAAGCTGTGAGCTGTCCTGACCCCAGGACCTGCCAGAAGTCATGCTGCACAGAGCTTCTGCAGACAGCCACCCCGTCACGTTTGATAAAATCCACATCTGTGGATGCATACCTCACAGTGTTTGCGCAAGACAAAGTTGTCTGTCAGAGACCCAAGTTCCTGGGTGACTCTCTGAGCCTGGGTTTGAACTGTTGTGTCCTGTGGGTCAGGCAGAAAAGAGGGGAGCAAACTGCAGGCCTGCACATGATGTAGGCACCTGGAGACCGGGAAGGACAAAGGAAAAAGGGAGGGAACTTGTGTTGAGCCAGATTTGCAGGGAGAGGCGGAGGTGGGACCACAGTGGATGCGGATGTGATCTCAGAGCCCGGCACCTCGCACTCTCCGGAGGAGATGTGACGGGCGGTCCAGGAGGTGACCTCAGAGCCTGGGTCCTTTGCTGACTCAGTCAGATGATTGACAGTCAGGTGATTCCTGGCTTCAGGCAGGGGGAGAGGAAAAGGGAAGGCTGTTCTCCGGGCAGACCTCCTGAGAACTCACACATTACCTTTGTGTCTCCTTCTTTGTAGCCAGAGCTACCTGCAAGCTGCCAGCGAGGTGCCCATCCCTCACAGCCTGGACCCGTCTGCCGGATACAACTCCCCAAAGTTCCGCTCCAGGAACCAGAGCTACATGCGGGCCGTGAGCACCCTGAGTCAAGCGAGCTGCGTGAGCCAGGTGCGCCCTCACCCTCCCTCCCTCCCCTCCCAGGGCCTCCGCCGCACCCTGCCAGCTGGGACTGTGGACTTAGTTCCCAAGGGCGACTCCAAGCACCTCGGTCCTGAACCCAGGGGAGGGCAGCCACCAGGCGCCCAGGACGCCCTTCCCGCACGGGCACACCTGGGCCTCAGCTACACCACCAGGAAAACTCCGGGGCCGGGGCCTGCCACTGGCCTTGGAAGTCAGTGCTGCATTTGAACAGCTTTCTCTCCACCCACAGATAAAGACTTCCTTCTAAGTTACCTCCCTTTTAGTCAAGGGAACTAGTTGGCCAAAATACTGCTTTTAAAAGCAGGTATGGTCCCAGAGAGTATAAACAGACACCAATACATGGGGAACTTTCCTCTTCCTTCTTCTCCTTCCTCTCTTTCCCTCTCCTCCCCTTTAGTGATGTCAAGATGGGATCTCCAAAAATAAGTCAGTAGAAATAACATCTTCACATGCCTGTCTCTATGGAGAGATGTAAATGATGGTGAGGTGGAAAAGCTGGGTGTATGGGGGTAGCGTTGAATTCTAGATTGTTTCTATTGCTGACTTCTGAGACGCGACTTGACTTTTAATTCTGACAAAGTCCATATTCCTACATAATGTGGTCCTGGGGGTGCTAGCAGGCAGCTGTGACATACCCATGTCAGGCCCTGACAGAGGGCCTGCCAGCTCAGGGACGGTGATGGCAAGGGCAGGGAGCGTGCTATGTCCTGGGCACTGGTAATGGAAGCCGTCAGCTGTCATTTTCTTGTGTGCGAAGCTACATCAAAATTCCATCTGAGGACCAGGTGTAGTGGTACATACCTATAATCCCAGACATGTGGGAGTCAGGAGGATTCGATTCATAGCACGAGGCCAGGGCAAAACCAGGAGACTCTACTTGAAAAAATAGCAATGCTAAAGGGGAAGTAGATATGGACCAAGTGGTAGAGCACTTGCCTAGCATGCACCAAGGCCCTTAATTAAAATCCCAGTACCACACACACGCGCACACATGCACACACACGCACGCACACTCACACACACACACCTGCAGTCTTGGGAGATTTGCTCACCCTCAGCAGGTCCTTGGTTTGGGATTGGGATGGTCTCAGGAACAGCAGGGCAGGTTGTTAGAGGAAGTTAGAGCTGCCAGCTTCTCACCAGGAAAAGGGGACCACGGAAGCCAGAGAAGCTGCTGGAGACCCACTGGACGGCACCACGCCACACTGCAAGAACACACAGCGCACTGCAGAGCATGCAGAGCGCACCACGGGATGTGCACACCACACTGCACCACACCACACTGCAAGAACACACAGCGCACTGCAGAGCATGCAGAGCACACCGTGGAATGTGCACACCACACTGCAGAGCATGCAGAGCACACCGTGGGATGTGCACACCACACTGCACCACACCACACTGCAAGAACACACCACACTTCAGAGCATGCAGAGCACACCGTGGGATGTGCACACCACACTGCACCACACCACACTGCAAGAACACACACCACACTGCAAAGCATGCAGAGCGCACCGTGGGATGTGCACA